CCCAAAGATAAAGTTTTGAAGAATCCCATTTCCTGAAATTTCAAGAAAATGACAGTGGACCCACAAAATTATTCTTGAAATTGGTTGATAGCATGAGTTGCATTGACTCATATTGACTCATAATACCTTATAGTGGATAGGATTCAAGGCACTTGGCTCTCTTGTGAATGTAAATAAAAATTACTTCAAGATTTATGGTTTTAAAATTATTTAGTAAGTTGTTCTCAGTGATTACAGATGAAAAGGTCCCTGTGTAAGCCCTATTTACTGACATTCTTGCTAAACTGAATATATTTGGAGACATAATGTCTTATTAATATTCAATGAAAAGGAGTTTACTAGAATAATATTCACTTCTTGACCCTAAGGACCTCAATAGGGCAATGTTTTTTAGGTCATCTACTTATTTCTTAACATTAGAGAACTTAATATCTCATTGGGACTAGATGCTGAGAATATCAGAAATAGAGAGAAAACATGTTCTATTAATATTTGTATCATTTGAAATCGCTCATTAGGTCATCAGAGTATGACTGTTAATTAACAGTAAGATAATTACTCTCAACTTGCTCCCACAGATGAACCAGGGGCACAGAAGCGCAAGAAGCCTGAGGGAGACTCTCCGGTGCATTTTATTGTACGTCATCAAGATGTGAGACATTGTCAGTTTTTCAGAGGATTAGAAAGGTAATTGTTCCCACTCTGTACATTTATATTTCTTGGGCCTCTCATCAATCCCTCAAATTCCTTCAATGAAACTCCTGTTTCTGGAAACTGGTCACAAACTGCTATTTTATATTTTGTCCATATTGCATTTGCTTTCCTTACAATGACACCTGGGTCCCTGAGGACTTTTCCCTTTGCAGGATACTTGCCTCACAAGAACACAAGAGACTGTCAGTGATTTAAACAAACTTCATGCGATTTCTGACAACTCACGTAAGGTGCATAAGGAACATGTATTTTGCTGCTACGTGTACTCATTCCTACCCTGAAAGCAGACCAAATTCTATGCAATTACAGCGGCGATCAGCACACTGCAGCCCAGGGGGAAACGCAGCCCACTTCCAGCATTTTGCACACAGAGGTTTACGGGAGTACATCCACGCTCGTTTGCGTGGCTTTCTCACTAGACATTCTACAGCAGCTGCGAAAGAGACCGTCCCCACGGCCTGAAATACGTCCTCGCTGACCCTTTACAGGAAAAGCTTTCTGACACCAGACCTAAGGATGCTCTGTGGATTTCATCATATTAGAAGGAAGTCTTGCAAATGTGACTCTGAGCAATTTCTAAAATTATGACTATGGTTATAAACTATAGCAGTAGACGCCAAACAGTCAACAGGTGATTAAGACATGCTCAACCCACTCCAGTCCCAATTATCTTAATGAAACCGTTCTGCTACTTGCCCTGACCTGCATTACAGCCAGACTACTGAGGAAGCGAGGGGCGCCTCTATACCACGGATAGACCCAGTTGATAGAAACAGTGTTGCCGACTCACCTGGTTCTGACCCTGGGGCGCTCGGATTGCTCTGACATAAAGCTTGTGCTGCTGAGGCGTGAGGCGCTGCTGGTCCGGGAAATGGCGGACACGTCACTGACATCACTATCTGATGATTTGGCAGAGACGTTATCACAGCTTCTGTACTGATCTTTATGCATGTTATACTAAAGATTAAAAACAAGAAAGCGTGAGCTCCGTCATCAGACAGTGGGAAAGAGAGACATGCACGGTGAGGCCAAAGGCTTCGGCGCGCACCACGGAAGGCGCGCCTTTGTAAAAGCAGGTGTGGATCTACAAGAACCTAAAACACCGAGGCACATGATTCCAATGTAAAAGTCCTAATTCCTTTGAATGGTAAGAAATGGTTTTCGAAGGCTGAATTATAAATTAAACAAAAAACTTAAATGCTTGGGTGGAAAAGACCCTCAAAACTCTTTTTTTTCCCCCTAGTATACAGGTTTCTCTTTTATGGCTTTTGTTTTCATTATTGACTATTCACCCTCTACTCTATCCATGGGTACAGACTGTGCCCATCTGTTTGTGTTTGATTCTTTCTTATTCAACTTACCCACATACTTTCCCTATTATAGGGATCCCATTATTTCAAGTTTCTCCAAAAAATATCTCTCTTCACAAAAAAGGGCTGACATTTAAGCTGTGGGGCTGGGCCAAAGATGAGTCAAGGGATGGGGGCAAGGCTGGACTTCGGCGTCCCTTCTCTTATGGTTTAACAGACATTTTTGGATTTAAACAATCAACTCAGTGTTGAAAGTAAATAGTGGGATTTCTGTAAAATTTCAATGTATACTATATGTTATATTTAAATGTGTCTTTAAACTTGTCTTTTGTATTAATTAACTAAGATATTAGAAATCAGCAGATAAAAGACTGAAACATGCAAAGTCGTCAAAGCAGTTAATCTACTTATTTGTATTTCACTCTTGTTGCAACAGATCACACACTAAAGAGCTTTAAATACTCTATATTGTTATTTTTATGTGTGTTTTAATTATAATGAATAGTAGCTCTAGAATCATATATTTAAAAGTAACTAATATATAAGTGATTCTCTTATCTGAGATACTGGAAGATAAGATAATATAATTTGTTACATAAAACACAGGAACACATAACTAAGAGGAACATATGAGTATACACTGGATATTCAAGTGTCTTACGAAGTGATTTAATTTTGTATTTATGCATTAAGGTGTGAAAACATCAAATGTTTGTTAAACTTGTAGAAAAACTCATCCATCTTTGGACATTCCCTATCAGATGAGTTTTAATGAATCTAAAATGAACTCTATTTCTAAAAATTTGTATAAGCAATTTTCTTGAAGTATACTAAATGAGCTGATGCTGAAACCTGGATCTGTACAGGCAAAAAGAAATAAAAGACAATATATTTTTGAAAAATCCTAGAGAAGGGAATCATGTTTATTTAATAATCTCTTAGGTGAGAGCAGTTCAGCTCTAAGGTACTTAAAATGTTGGTTGTAATTCTTCACCTCTCATGTGGATGTAGTGGGCAAAGAATTTCACATCACACATGAAAACAATTTCAAATTTATAGAATATTTATAAAGTTACCTTTCCAAATAATTTTTTCATAATTGTGTGATTTGTTTTTGAAAGCCATATGCTAAATTATAATTCAAAAGGGTATTTATGTTATTTCCAGAATTGAGCTATTTGTAAAACTTCATGTATGATCTAAAATTAATATGATTTAAAATGAAGTATTCAAAGTAATGTGACAATATTTTACGAGCAGACTGTCACATCTGACAGCATGAAGCTTACTGACATGGCTCATTTCAATCAGAACTGCTTTTTATTTACAGAGTAGGTGCAATAAAAACTTAATATGCCCATGTAGGAGTACCTGGATTTAACATGTTAGTGGGATACAACTTTAACTTCTCTGTTACTTGTTTTTGAAACTATTTTGCTAAGTAGATATATCATGTAATTATTAGAATGTTTCCAAACATATTGAAATGATAGCTTATCCATGAGAGAATATGAAAGAATTAGTTTCTCATACAATAAAAATTTATCCATTTGTAAAAGATGGTCTGGCATTGTGTTGGCACCCAGAGCAAATGCCCCCTTACTTGGCACAAAGCAGCGTGGACTGTAGCGTAAGACTATGTGGGTGTGCATGGAACTACTTCTCCGACTAGAGACATCCCCCTTTTCTATAAGCCATCTGTCCCTTGACCTTCTTTTATATGGGCTTTTGCTATTCCAGCAAAGAGATATAAGGAGAATTTGGAAAGAACAATGCCATATAAAATTTTTCTATATTAGGGTAAAAACAACCCATCCTGACACCACATCAGAGTTTTCTTCACATGGGCGATTTGAAGGAAATCAAATACGTTCATATTCACTTTTTATTACTTTATTTACTTCCTTTCAAAATCTGTTAAAGGTTTAAATAATCACTTTGCCTTTTCATCTGGCATAATTTGTTAAACTTCCTATTTAACAATTAAGTATTTGAATGGACGTGCATTAATTGTATTTTGAGGAACATAGTATCCCCGGGAGGAATTCCTACTGATCAGACAGCAGGGAGTGAGTTACTGATGTGGGAGGAGGCTGTTGGTGCAGGGCTGCTATTTTTATAGGTAAGTAAAAAATTAGCATGGGCTCATATTTTAGGGATCCCAAAGCAGTTTTGTGATTTTTTTCAAGAGCAAAGTTAATGCTAATCCCTTACTTAGGAGGGAGATGGGGTCATTCAGCATTTTAAAGGAGGCTCCAGCTTTGGAACTTCGCAGGAACTGTACTACATTCGTCCTGCAATTCTTTGCCCTGAAGAAAATCTAGCTCTTCTGGTATTTGCTTATAAATATTTTGAGTATGGTTAACCAATTTCTAATTTGGGAGAATTTCAACTAAGGAGTATTGCTTCATCCATAATGTGAAATGGACAAGACATTTAAAAAGGAATAAATAAAGGAAGAAAGTACAAAATGTAACATACATTAAATTTATGGCAATACTGGTTCTCAGTTACATGAATAAAAATAGATCTTTGTAAATTATAAAAAGGTTGGGGTACTAGGATACAAAATAAGGAAGAATCTCTCAAGTATCTGAGGGGCATCTGAGTTAACTGAAACGGCTACTGAAACCTATTTAAAATTTTTATTGTCAGCATTAGGCCATAATATGAATATTAGAACTATGGAGAGTATTTATCTTTTATTTGACATAAAAGATAAAAAAGAAGCAAACTTATTTTATCTTATATATTTTTTCTTATCCTATTCCTACAACTTTTTAAAGATACCATGTCTTTGATCTCACATTTATTAATTCATAATTTTATTTGTGAAATAGAATAGAAATTTATGTAGTAAGAGCAACAATAACACGTTTGAAGATAATGTTTTTTCTTTTTAACGTTCAAATGTGATGAGAGAGAAAGGAGGGAGGAAAGGCGGAATATGGTGATTTAATTGAATGCAAAGCAGCAGCCCCAGAAGATCTCTGAATCAGGCCGGAGTAAAGCGCAGGTTCAGCGATGTCATAAGAGAGCAAAGTTCCAAAGCAGGAGTTCTAGGGCTCTCTGGGCTACTCACTCCACAGAAAGGCGTTATTAATTTTGGCAAATTACCTCCTTTCTTAAGAATGAGTCTCAGTTTTCATAAATTTGGTAAATAAGGATGCTGGAATAGAAGATTGCTTTGAGGTATTTCCAAGTTCTAAATTTTTATGAGTCAGAGAATTTGGTATCTCCCCAACAAGAAGCAGTTTTTGATTTATTATGACTATAAATATTCATGGTGGTTTAGATTTCTGGGGCCCTTCATCCTGTAGGATTTTTTGATTGATAAATGATTAGAGTCCTAGTTCAGAAAGGTCCAGAAAGGCTTTTGGTATCTAACCCTGATTCTTTATTCACCTCTTTCTTGCTTCCTACACTGGCCCTCGATCTCCCTGCTATTCTATTTGACCACATCCTTTGACATAACGCTAAGACATCAATAAAGCATTTCCAGCTTTAATGAAGCATTTTCAGTTCAGAGAACCTTTTCAAAATTGCATCCAACTGTGGAGGAAGAAAACTTCAACTGTGCTGCCTTCTAGTTCTTAAAGCACTTGTAACGCATGAAAACAAAAAGATGGCTATACCCATACAGACGACAGACAAGGAGGCTGACCGACCGAGTCATGATACCATAAGGACTATGCGGAGAGGAGAGGTGCAGCTGGCACCAGCGGCTCTGTGGAACACCAAGATACTTAACGGAGTTTTTTTTTTTTCTTTATTGATTCTACTTTTTAAAATGTTGTTTCAGGCTCCCAGAGAACTGGTCCTCATGAACCAGTGACCCTGGCACTGTCTCAGCTGGAGATCTCTCTACAGCCGACCTTAAGATGTAAAGTGATGATGAGATGCACCCAACACACAGGGCACAGGGGTTGTCTGGTGACAGATGAGATTTTGGAACCAACTCATTTTTTTTGGTTTTAGTCTCTGAACATCTGACTATACAATAAACAACTCCAGTATTTTTAAAAAGTGTTTTTTTTTTCTAGGTTCGTATTTCAAGCCAATTATACTGATTTAGTTTTGAACTTTAATTTTGAATTTTTAAAGGTCATTACTTCCAAAAGGGATTCCCTACATTAAATTATAACACAGGTTCTCTTATGACTACTGCCACTTTTGTAGTTTTCTAAAAAAGAGATTTTTAAATAAACAAAGTAATATACTTAAAATTACTTCATGAAGTATAAAATTCTATGCATATCTTAACTGAAATATATGCTAATTAGCAGTTTATGAACCTTAGTGTATGCTTACAAAATATTAAAATACATGTTAAATGTTTATTGCCACTTGAAATTGTGTGGGTTTTAGTTTCTAAGAGTTTGAAATCACTTTTCTTACTAAAGAAATAGTAAGAAATCTCACATTGCATGATTTTTGTCATTCACTAACACATCTTGATAGTAAATATCAACCTAAAATAATATTTCAGAGTATAAATGTATATCTTAACACCTTATATGCAACATTAAATGATTAGCAATAAAATAGTTTCACAGTTTGCTTATTTATGCAAATTTGACTACTGACAAGCAACTGACTTTAATACCAAGTATTTAAATTTTCTTTTTAGAAAAAAACCCCATCAAATCCAAGTTAACAAATATCTTTTAAAAGTTATATATCTTGTGAAAATATGAAGAGGAGAGAGGTTATGGTGCAAGACTGTCACCTGACTGGTAACTTCTCTTGTTTAACGTGGTGCTGACGAGCCTACCTGCTACACACACTGCACATGTTTAAAAGGGAAGCTACCGGTCGGAGACTACAGGTTTACCTTGGAATACTGCTCGCGGTCGGGTCCTTGCCTAGAACCAGACCCTGCAGTCTGCTTAAATCGGTGCACCTTCGTTTCCATCTGTCTTGCTCGCTCCTCCACTACTAAGCTCGCTGCGAAAACACACAACGGAAGCCCATTAAAACGGGTGAGGCACCTTTTAGAAATGGAATGGCTTAAGATTTCAATGTGTCTTAACACGACTTCAATTAAATGAAATTTAGAAATAACACATGGTTAATAAGTCAAACAAAATGTAGAATATACAACGCTAGCAACTGTTAATCTGGAGATGCACATGACTCGAATCACACAGGATGAGGAACATGAATGTTAGTAAGAGAGGGACCCTGTTTCTTCGCTTGATAGGAAATATTTTCAATTTAAATAAATCATTTTCAAGTAAATGGTTATGTGAAACCAAATGTAACTGTGAAAATACACTTTCTATTTACTGAACTGGTCATTATATGCACATATAGAGAGAAAACAAATACGCATACAGAACATGTCACACATGTATGCACGTGCTTACAGGCATGCCCACACCTGCTGAGCATCCTCAGCTAATGGCAGTCACATAAAAAATGCTCTGACTAATAAGCATCTGCTTTTCTGAGGCATTCTTATTAAATCATTCATTTCTACCAGTAGCTTTTCATGAATATTTGTCAGTCTTAAAAATGTACTTATTGAGAGAAAAATCAGTTTTCCATTTCTCATGGCTATGTCTGTCCATGTATATGAAATTCATGTTTTGAAAATGTGTTAGAAAATTCTCAGCTCCTTGTAGTATGTACAGAAATGTATTCTATTTAAGTGTTTATTCATCTGCTAAGTGACTATTTAGGTGGGAATGACAGACTTTAATAAAGTATGAGTAGTTTTAAGTCAGAATCCATCATAATCAGCTTAGCTTCAAGACCCTGCCTTTGATTTTTTACAAGTGAAAAAGAACAAGGAGTGAAGGGTACACTGTGAACAGAGTGAAGTCTCCAAAACACACACCAGTCTTTCTGAGACCTATGTTTATTTCTTAAAACTTTTCTTTTGCCAATTTTCCAGACCATTCAATCTCTGAAAAAAGAGATAAGATTTATTTTTAAGTTGTGTATATACACATATACATATACAAAAACAGATCTTCTGATGACTAATGTAGTGGGGCTTCTGGAAGAAGCCCAATGACTTAAAGGACAATGGAAATGTTGATAAATCTGACTGACCTGGCAGCTGATTCATGTTTTACAAGCATGTTATAAAGACACCGGCTGATAAATTTTTTCATTGCAATGATTAAACATGGCCTATCTTCCTTGATAAAAGACACTGACAACCCATTATAAAAACTATAAAAACTTATATATAGCTTTTATGGTGTATTAAAGTACAGACTAATAGCCCAAGAAACAAATAGTCTGAAATTTGCAGGTAAATGTTTTACCTGCAAATCATACTTTCAGCATCAAATTACTTGATGTTTAGCTTTGCCAATTCAGTGAATTAGATAGCATCAACCCCTAACATCATAGTTACGTGAATTAAACAATGATACACATTTGCTTTGAAAATACTGACCTCTGAGACAGTAATTAATGACTATGATGATTAAAGGATGGGTCAGTGGAGAACTTGAGAAGAGCAGTTCAGAAATCTACTAATTACCTGACAATATGTACGCTGTCAGAATGAATATTCTAAAGCAAAAGGCTACTTGAGCGGAATCAGGAACGGAGACAAAATTATGAGAAAGTGTGAGTTATATTTACAGCAAGCGAGACGAAATGGAAGCACCTATACAAATATCTGTTCTCTCCTTCTGCCTGTGGTGTTGGCACTTTAGTCATTTGCTACAAACTTTGAGGAAGTCAGATGAATGGTGATCAGCTGTACTTCGAGCTAAGAGCCTCAAAGCAACCTCTACTGTAGAAAAAAAAATTTAAATGATGTTAGCTAAGTATTCTCACCAAATGATATTTTCATTTTAAGAAATTTTTGACATTGATTAGCCCACAGCTTTGTGAGTTTCACTTTAAGTGTCATGAAATTCCTACAGAGGACAGTTACTTGGCCCTGAAGAGGTTACTGTCCTGAAGCGGTCTGCAACAGTTCTGGGGACTTAACCTTCTGAGGATAACACCTCAGTTCTCTAAATAGGATTACACAGTAGTTTGTGACATGGCTGCATTTACATTTTTATTTTGCAAAACTCAAAACTAAATCATAAGAAGACAGTGGCAGCCTAACTAAAGTGAATCCAAAAATAGTTTTAAATGACTTCACTTAGACCTTCCACAAATGATTAATGTATTATCTTTATTCTTAAATAAATGACAGTTAACATCTTTTTAATCTGTCAAAGGAAAGTTTTCAAATTAATTTTGACTCAAAATTGTGAGTATATGCCCTGGACTCCCCAGCAAAAAAGCAGCTGCAAAGCTCCCCTCATTATTTGCTCTCTGATTCCCAAGAACACAGCAAAATGCAAACAGCTTATCATTTACTTACTCATTTCAAGAGTCAGATAATTACATATAATTCACACTTCATAAAAGTATTTCTCATTATTTCCTGATATGTATATTAGTGTGTGTTCTGAAATAATTGTTTATACAAGTTATCAGGCTGCAGTAAAACTTTTTTTATAAACATTAGTGAAGAAGCTTCAGTGTGAATTTGGAAATACTTCAACTTTTCTAAATATTTTGCTTATTTTGCACTTTATTTTTCAGCTGTATAATGTGAAATAAAATGACATTATTGGTGTCAATTTGAATGGTTAAGGGAAATTTAAGAACTAAAATAGAATATTTACCACAAATTTGAACCAGAAGATGTGACTATTAACGTATATGATTTATACAGAGAATAACAGATACTTAGTAATGATTACAAGTGAACTAAATCCTGATTATCTCTTATCTCCTGCAGCCTAGAGCTCAAATTTTACTTGGAAAAGTATGACTACTGTTTAACATTAAAGGTTTTATATTAACAATTATAATGCCAACAGCAAATTAAAATATGAAAAAAATATTTTTCAACTCTCCCAGAAATCCTAGCACTAAATTCACATTTTAGGAGCATTCCAAAGTTGACAGCATTGTAAACTAATACAATTATTAAAATGCCAGTTGCTATTTCTTTATAAAAAGATTTGAAAATTGGGGAATTTTTAGGTTTTTATTTTTTTTAATTCCCAAACTTCCACCTGCTAGTGAGTTAAATAATCCCTCTCATTATCTACAACAAACATAATTATCACGTTCATTTTTTAATGACAATATAAGGTTACAAATAATTGTCAGATAAGGATGTTTCCTATAGACTGTTTCTGCTGTAACTGCAAATAGAGTGATAGTAACATAAACAATTCACCTCCTTAGACCCTGAGGTGTAATTAACATGTTTATATAGAGTTTTTTTAAGTTGGAATGTTTCACTATGCATTCTGCAAGCTCAAGGATGTATTTGATGTTGATGTTCAGATATTTACCTGAAAAATATTTACTGAACTTAATTCATTTACTGTAGATAAACTTTATATATTGTTCTTTTTACACTGACATTTTAATCAAATGAATATAAATTTATCAAATATCAACTCAACATTACAATTAAGAAAATAAAAAAACTAGAATGTTTTTAGCAGTTAAATTAAAACCACACTAATCAAATCATTTCTTGTCTTCTAAACTCAACAGGAACAACTCTGAAGCAGCAAACTGAGAAAAGCAAATATAATTGAAAAAGTCTATAACTACATTTTCTAATGGAAATACAGATATTATTATAAAAAGACAGATTAATTACTTCATGTCTCATGCTTTGCTAAGAATTCTTAATCTTATGTATGGATGATCTTTGATGAAACTACAAAGAAGCTGAAATTGTTTGCAAATATTGTGTTTGTGCCTACATCCATTTTTCTAGATCCCTTTCATAAGATTACTAAAGAGGCCTGTTACTTAAAAAGAATATGCTTAAGAATCTTTAATAAATCTTCCCTAACCCATCACTGAAAAATTTCCCCTCCTACAAAGAAAATGTGATTTTCTGGGATACTCCTTTGACTTATCAGATATTTATGATTTGCTTAAAAATATCACAAATATTGTAATTGTTTAATTATAACTTAAACATTAAACTTTCACGAATATGTTTAGATTATGCATGAATTTACAATTATATGAAGATAAATTTACTCTGATCTTCAAATCTTTCAGCTTTTCATATTTTTCCCTATGCATCTAGAAATTAACACAAATTTGGCATTTCAAATGTCTGTGTTTATAGGCAAAGAAGATAATCCATATACTATATTGTTGAATCATCTCATATTTTCTAGTATTCTAGTTGAAATCTGAGTGTAAAAGAAGAATAAGTATTTCTACATTATTAAATATATTGGAGTATAATGACTGTATTTTATTTTACAAGAAGGTTACAAAAGTGATGAATTATAACATCTGGGCAGGATAACTCAGCTTGCTAGTTAGCTACAAGGGGCTACCACAGTTTGTGAAGAGAAGCACTGACACCTCTGCTTCCTGGCTGTTTAGCGGGAATCAGAGTTTGGAGACAGTGGAACACCGTCTTTGCTCCAATGGGTGTCTCAGAAGGAGCAATGATAAATGACCATGTACCTGGAAGTTGTCAAAGAGAATCAAATGTATGAATGAAATACCTACAATTCTTCAATTATTGAGATCATTAAAAAATAAATACCTTCCCTGAAACATTTTATTTTAAAAAACCACTGAGAGTGGAAACTCAAATGCAAGAAATGACATAATGTGAAGTATGGAGATTATAATATAATAAAAGAAGAAAAAATGTAGCTAACTGAAACTAATCTTTATAAAACTATACACAGCCTGAATTGGAAGGGAGATGGTTTGATATCTGAAAATTAAAAAATACAATACTGGTCTCTACTCAAAGTTTTTTAGACTTTAGAGGAATATAAACTGTTAAGATGTATAAAAATTCCCCATATACCTGGAAGCAATTTATTAAACTGATAAGAACCCAAGCCTGGGAATGAGTAGGCATAAATCATAGTTTCAGATGATTGCCGCTCATCAGTTCATCAGTATTGCCGTGGTCACTT